ACTTGTATAATGACTCTGTTCTAGTTCATTTTCATTAGAAAGGATCGTAAAAGAAGGCTGAAAACATCTCTAAAATCTCAAAAAGACAATTACAGAAATACAGTTGTTTATTTCTTCCAACTTGAAACTCTCTTTCTGTGTGTCTGTCTCATGTGCATGTGCATATATACACCTGTAGTTCTTGCTTCTCTCCAGTTCCTTTCGTTTGCAAGTTATTCTATAAAAATCATATTTGATATGTGTATGAATAATTTATATAATAGTTGGTTAGAAGATTTATTATGATTTAACATCTGATTTTAATATGTGCTGTTACAGTGTTACTGCAACATTACTATGTTTTTATACTGTTTGAAGCTAATTTCTTTTGAGTTCTTCATTGTTGTTGGCTGTTGTTTTGAGTTCAACATGCAGAAATATTAACAATTAATAATTGTTAATTATAGATGGAAAACCTTCTAAATCAAAATGCTTCATCCACTGGCACTGCCCCAACATCAACCAATGCCCCAACTTCAAACACTAACCCAACATCAACTACTGCAGGATCCGTCACGGATAATAAAGGTAAACAACTTCAAGTCTTTACATCAAGGAAAAGAAATGTTGATGATAAAAAAAAGTCACAAATTTGGGATCATTTTACAAAACTTGATGGTGATCCTACAACCCCTAGAGCTGAATGTAATTATTGTGGAAAGGATTATGCATGCCATACTATTGTTAATGGGACAAGTAATATGTGGAGTCATTTAAAAGTATGCAAAAAGTTTCTTTTTGTGGTTGATAAGAAGCAAAAAATTTTGGTATTAGATTCTAATAAAGTAAGGGGTGAATTAGGAGATTGAAGTGTGGGGACTCTTAAGGCAATAGGTTATGATTATGATGAATGTAGAAAGACATTAGTAAAAATGGTTATAATTGATGAGTTGCCTTTTAATTTTGTAGAGGGTAAGGGATTTAGATTATTTTCTAGAACCTTACAGCCTAGATTTGACATTCCTTCTCGTTCCACTATTATGAGAGATTGTTTGAAACTTTATGTTGAAGAGAAGGAAAAATTAAAGAGAGCTCTTAAGGGTCAACAATTATGCTTAACAACAGATACATGGACATCAATCCAAAACATTAACTATATGTCCTTAACAGCTCATTGGATTGATAATGAGTGGAATTTGCATAAAAGAATTCTGAATTTTTGTCAAGTTTCCAATCATATGGGTGAGACAATTGGTCAAGTTATTGAGAATTGTTTGTTAGATTGGGGGATTGATAAACTTTTAATTGTTACAGTAGACAATGCAAGCTCTAATAGTGTTACTATTTCATATTTAAAGAATGTGATGAAAGATTGGCCAATATATATATTATCAAATGAACATTTGCATGTTAGATGTTGTGCACACATTGTAAACCTCATTGTGTGTGATGGCTTGAAAGAGATTAATGTTTCGGTTGTTAAGATTAGAAATGCAATTAGGTTTGTGAGATCTTCACCTTCTAGGCTACTTGCATTTAAGAAGTGTGTAGAAAAGTTGCATATAGAGTGTAAAAAATCATTGTGTTTGGATGTTGCAACTCGATGGAATTCAACTTATCTTATGTTAGAAGCTGCTGAAAAGTTTGAAAAGGTGTTTGTGAGGTTAGTTCAAAGTGAACCTAGTTTGGAGGATTGGGAAAATGCTAGAACTTTACTGAAGTTTTTAAAGATCTTTTACATGGTTATGTTGAGATTTTCTGGCTCATTGCATGTCACATCAAATTCTTTCTTCAATAAATTGATTTACATGCATACAAACTTGTTGCAATTGTGTAAAAGTAGAGATAATATTTTAAGTGGAATGGGGATGAACATGATGTTAAAGTTTGAGAAGTATTGGGGTTGTGAAGCAAATCAGAATTTTTTATTATATGTGGCTAATGTTTTGGATCCACGTCTTAAGTTGAAATATGTAAAATTTTGTTTTGGTGAGTTGTATGATTATGACAAAGCACAATTGCTAACAAAGAAGGTGAAAGATAATTTGATGAGCTTGTATGAGTTTTATTTGAAAGCCGATGAAGTGGTGGATGATAATAGGCATACACAAGATGTTGATGATATTATTGATGACATAGAAGTAGATGTTAATATTTTAGCTCGATTCAAAAGGCACTTACAAGAGGAAGATAGTGTGGAAAATAGAAATGAGGTCGAGAGGTATTTGATTGATGGTTGTGAGGATCCTAATGATGATAAATTAGATATTTTGTGTTGGTGGAAGGTTAATGCTTCAAAATATAAGATACTTTCGAAAGTTGCACAACATGTTCTTGCTATTCCTATATCCACAGTGGCTTCTGAATCAGCCTTTAGTACAGGTGGTCGTATACTCGACCAATTTCGAAGTTCTTTATCTCTAGCAACAGTTCAAACACTTATTTGTTGTCAAAATTGGTTGCATCATGGACCAATTCCAACTGATGATGGAACCTTGATTAATGATTTTGAAACTTATGAAAAACTTGAAGGAGGTAATTTTTCTTATAAACTTATACATTTTATTTTATAATTTATTAATTAACATATTTTTATTTTTTATTCTAACATGTTTAATTTTTTATTTTGTAGAATTCAATGGAAAATTGCATCTAGCAACAGATGATAATTAGTTCACAAATTGATGCATTTATTCAAAATATACGGTAAAAATACTATTTTTTTATTTTTGTATCTTTTGATTTAATTTATCATGTTACAGTTCTATATTTTGAATTTCAAGTATCAAAGTGGCACTATTGAGACGATGCTTCAATTAAGAATTTTGAAAAGAGCTGAAAGTGCAATGTTCTTGATGTGCTTTTTCATCGAGATAATGTGCAAATAAATATTTATTTTTTTGGCTTGGAGTTTTATTATAATGTTATTTGTTGTTTTTCTTTAAGCCCTTTGAAGGCATTGATTTGTAATTTGGATTTTAACTTATTGATGTATGATTATGTGTTATTTAAATATTTTTGAAGTAGGAGAAAAAAATTAGGATGGTAAAAAATATATTTAACACAAAATTGACAATAATAATTTAACATAAATAAATATTTAGTGGCAAAAAAATTATATGTACTTTGAAATCTTGTAAGAAAATTAGATATTATTATTATTCATTGTAAGCCCCTCAGAAATCCACTAGAAGCCCATTACAAAGCCCATTACGAAGCCAAAAAATAATCATAGGTTTTTCCGGTTTTGGGCCTGAAAAACCAGACCCAAATTGAACAGAAAATGGTCGGTTTGGACCGGATCTGATTCAGTTTGAGTCTTTTTTTTTTTTTTTTACCTTTTAGTTTAATTGTTTTTTAAAAATAAAAACCGAACCGAACCGAACCGAAAATAATCACGTCTCACATCCATGACCTCTTCGAGTCAAGAAGACAATAATAATGCCATAAGCCCCGAGTCATTTTCACTCTTCTTCTGCCAAAAACTTGAATCGATGTGCCTGACACTTCTGTAAATTGTCAAAGCAGTTATTATTGACATTAATTATATCAAGGGTTGACTATTTTCAGGATTTCGAGTGTTTTTTTTATTTATCACGAGTGGCTGTAGCACCTGGCAGCAGATTTTCGAAGCCTTGGAAGAAGAAACTCGTTGCACCACGAGAAAGATGGTAAAAGGAAGTTTTGCATGTACTCGAAGAAAATGAAAGGTCTGCATTTTCATCTTCCACTTACCTTTCTACATCCATACATGCATCTCATGGACACGTTCATCTGCCCTGTGCTTGGCTTCTTGTAATTAGTCCATGGTAACTGTTCACGACGCCAACTAGGACCGCACATACATTAAAAGCAAAAGACAGCTATGGATTTTGACGAAACTTTGAGACCTTGAAAAATCACAGGCGAGAGAGAGAGGGAGAGAGAACAAGGTACTGCTACTTTCTCGAGGCCAATTTGAGCAGAGTTATCGAGATGGGCAGTGACGGACACCGCGTCGAAAGTAAGGACATAAAAAATCGAGAGATTGGACGACTGGTTGCATCTCTTCCTGCCGAGGAAGGGTCAATGTTACCTTTGCTAAGTATTTTGAACAGCTGGTAATCAACGATGCAGATTTTGCAATCTCTATCTGTACCATTATTTTTGGAGCAGAACTTGTCGGCAGAACTTGGCCTGCAAGGACATCACTGCCGGGCATAACTTCTTCTGCAGTGAGTTTTAATCTGTTTATTAAAATTATTTTTTTATTTTTCAAATAAAAAATTTAATATTTTTAGCTTGCTTTTATATAATATATTAAAAATAAAATTTTTAAAATAAAAAAATATTCTAAAAAATAATTACCGTGAAATTCCATTTGAATTTCCTCCCTTTTGATTTTTTTTTTAAACTTCTCCTGCGAGAAACGAATCATCCTGTCGGATTGGAGAGACCCTAATATATTTATATGTTAGGCTCAAAGTTTAGAATATTTATTCGAATTAAAACAGTCAAGTGCAGATATGTTTTTTCACCAAAGAATGACAGATGGTGTTGGGTACACGACTTCGTGATATTGCAGTCTTTTACTCACCACGCGAACAAATTTATACATAATAATCCAGACATGTTTATGATTTGTATCCAATATGTGAGAAAAATAAGCAATCTCCATGGATAGAGAGATTTCTTTGGAGGAATGGTTAACAGTGGGTTGGTGTTGTGGAGGCCTGAGAGGGACAGTTGCATTTACATGAAAATGAGAACCAGGGAAGAACAACAAAGCCTCGAACCCAAACTAGCTGGAGAACAGTGAATTTTGGAAAAATAAAATTGAACCTAAAAAAAGAATTCTAGCGATATGTAGATTAAAAAAAATAAAAATGGTAACAAGTTCATTCTATGATAATTCCAAGTTCGATCCTTTTACGAAAAGGAAACAATAAGGACCCAAGAGGGCAAATCAAGAAGTAGGAAAAATTGAGTAAAAAAAATATTATTTTAATATATTTTAAAATAAAAATATTTTAAAAAATAATAAGCCCGCACGATCGCTAAACCTTTCTGGGCAGCACCGGCAGAATAACATGGGCGCAAGCGGGGAGTTAGGAAGATACCGCGTTACTACTCGTAGGTCAGGCCAACCAAACCTCGCCAGGGAATTCACAAGCCACTAGGTGCTGCAACTTGAAAGACCCACCAAAAAAAGAGAACCATTTCACAGCAGCAGCGAAGCCAGGCTAGGTAAGCAACTAATAGAGCATGCCAGAGGTCAAACCCAAAAACAGGAGGAGCAAATCAACAGGTTACAGATCCTCTGTCGTTGTCTCTCCGTACACCTCATTATCATCGTTTCCTAGGTACTTACTTCCCATCTAAAACCCGCTCTTAAAAATTATCAACACAACCCCTTATTTCCTTGTATATCTCCTTAGCTCTTCCTCTCCTAGGTCTCCCCTCCTGCTGCGAGATTCTCTCCAGTTGCTCTAAATAAAATTAAAAACAAAGAATGAATATAAAATCAAACTGCTTCCCGTTGGACCTGCTTATTGTTAATATAGCACTTGCTTGCATCGATGGTGCTCTTGCTTGTATTGCATTTTCTCAGGTTTGTTTTCCCTTTTCTTCTTCTTCTTCTTCTTCTTCTTCTTCTTCTTTGTGCATACCCTTTTGGTCTGTGTTATTATTGATGGCATTGGAATTCACAATCTGAGCTTCTTTGATAACTGAAACAAGCAGTCAAAAGAAAATGATGGGTTATTGATTCTGTTTGATTCAATGTACTTTGAATTAGGTTTGGATTGAATAAGGGAAAATGGGAGATTTTGCGTCGTGTTGGAATTTGAGGGATAAATTAAAAAAAAAGAAGAGAGTTTGGTATCGGAATATATTGTTTTTTCTTTCAAGATTCCCAATTCGTGATTCTTTAGATTCTGGGCTAATAGATACCAGTCAAAAGAAAATGTTGGAGTGGAGCTATGTTCACCAAGGCTTTTTCTTTTTTTTCTTGGAAAAAAACGAGAGTGCATTTAAATGCTGGAAATTGTTCTTGAATACATTATTTTGAATGGCCAGAAATTTATCCAACGAAAGTTGCAGTTTGGATACGTGTGAGGACTATGCAGGGTCTACTTCCTTGGTAGGCAATCTACAGACCTGACATACTCACTAAAACTAATGAAGGGATTCGATCCGCGCTGGGATTTTTCCAAAATGACACTCTAACTAGGCGAAATGTGTACATTAGATTTATCTCCATTATTAGTCTGAGCATGGTGTGTAATGGCATAATATGCTCTTGCACATACTTTTATAAAATCCCATTATATGTTATGTTTGTTATTTTTTTCCCTTTTTATTTTATTCCATTTGTTCTGACATGTTATAGCTATTCACCAGTTTACAAGGATCCATCTGCGAAATCAACAAACTGGATGGACACGCCAGAAAGTAAGCCCTATTTCCTTGCATTATGCTGAATCCATTTCTGTGAGGCAACCCTAAAAAACATTGCATATCATTTTCTTCTTCCTTTTCTGGATTTTCATCTCATGCCATGGCAGCCATCAGAGGGTTCTCTGCTACAGGAAACTTCGAGCCATTTTTTCCTATGAAAATGAATGCAAAACTTGTTTTTTTGTTATCATTTAGTGTGACATTAAGGATACTCATTTGGTGGCGGAAGTGTTACTTGCAGGTACTCCATCTCATGGTCGCCTCTTGCAACTTGGGTAAGTCTGAGGCATTACGGTTCAAACAGTGAAGATTTTTCTTTATCTTGGTATAGTTTTAAGTACAACGATGCTTCTGAATTCATGTTTTGTAAATCATGGTCATTTTAGCAATGGATTAATACGTGGAACAACAAGATTCATAAAAAAAGTAAGATGCCGCACCCTTCTACATTTATTGTCAATCATTTCAAAAGCCAGATGATTCCTGGAAAGAATAGCATCCTTTGAGCAATTTCACTAAATTGTACAAAGATTTGATAGGACCTGCATTTTCAACTCTTTTCTTTTTTCATGAGTTTCCAAATTTACTTTGAGTTTCTTTTGAACTAAAATGATGTTTTAGCACAAGGTTTGGTCACGCTACCTTCTCTTCCTACACATTCCAACGGATATTGGAACTGATGCTTTTTTAAGTATGCTGTTTCATAACTTGTCTCTTTTTGTTAATTGTATGAACCTGATCATGATAAAATGGAAAATCACATCCGTAGAAGGAAATGTGCAATGACTAGGCCATTTGGTCGAGTGCATGATTACTAATTATGTTGATTTTTGAAATGTTTCAATTATCTTTTAACTGATTAGTTTCCTGAATATCTTGAAATTATTTTTTTGGGCACTTTTCCATCAAAACACCCTCGAGATTTCTGATTTTTCTTTTTAAAACCTTCTTTGAGGATTTTTCAACGGTTTTATACTTTGTCTGCTAAAGGGATCCCTTTGTCTTGGTGCTGAAATATGGAAGTATTAAGGTTTCGCGAACGAGTGCCTGATACTGTTCTGCAGAAATAAATTAATCTTCTGGATATTGATTTCTATTCGGCAGGTTACGTCATCTACTTTATATCTACAGTTATTGCTACTTGTTATAGGTGGCCTTGCTGGTCTCATGCATGTGGTTTTATCCTCATGGGTAAGCTTTCCTGCAGGTTACTTTTACATGCAGTTTTATTCCCATCTATCTGAGTGGTCATAAGAAACTTGTGAAATTTCATGCAGCATTTCCCAAAATTCTGTTCCTTGCAGCGTTTCTGCTTCTTCTATCTTTCTGGTAAGATTATTTAGGATCATTTAAAGCTTCATTCTTCTTTCTGGGCTAGGTTCTCTATTTTCACTTGCTTTATCTGTAAAATAATCTATTCAGTCTTCTTGGTTCTCGTTTGGAGATCAAAGATGACTTTGCCTTTGTCCAAATCTTAGAGAAGATCAAAAAGTAGAACGAAAATGGAGGATGGATTTACAGAAGAAAGAAATGCTTTGACGTGGCTGTAATTAATCACTGGAGCCTTGAAGAGGCGGTACTAATGTTATAGGAAGATGTTATTTTCTAGGTGGTGGAAAAATACTGTAAGGCAACAAATACTTCTTTGGATGGTGTTTGATGGGTAGATTTGGTGGATCAGGGTCCTGTCTATTATGTTTTAAAGGAATGTGTAACAGGAAGAGAGAAATAATGTTAAGAACAACAAATTGGAGACTAATCAGATTAGGCAAATACATAAAACCTGGGAAATTGCAAACTGGTTCTTTCATGATAGACTGGGTCAATTGCAATATGTCATTTCTGCTTGAACTTCTTAGAACTTTCTCTTGTGATTAGTTGTTTATGTTCTGTAAAAGGAACATGCTACTGTGGCTTGAACTGTGATGGAACAAAAATTCAATTTAGTTTACATATAGAACCAACTTCACCAAATTGAAGCACAAGTTTATTATGTTCTTGCTTTGGTTCCTTAAGCTGATTTCTATTAATTGATGTCAACATGGTTATGTATTTTTGATCATATAGTTTAATTCTGGGAAACTTTGGGCTTTGATGTCTTAAAAGTTAAATGTAATGATAACATAGTAGGTCATAATGTTAACATTGCAGGAAAACTTGAACTTCACATGGTACCTTGCACATTATGAATTTGAATAATGACACTAGTGTACAAATGAATGTGAAGGTCATCTTCTTAGCATTTACCTCTATGAGACATTGTATCAAGAGTGGTATACTGTAATTTATGAGCTACATATATCATTTTCATTGGTAATGATTTATAGGGTCGACCTTTGCCATCAGGCAAATGAAGAAGATGATGATGAAGAAGAAAATAGCTCTCAACAACCTTTGTTGGAAAGTTCAAAGAATAAACCTGGTTCAACGAACACAGATAATTTCTGGAGTTGCTGCTCATTCCGAGGCATTCATATTGGTGGTCGTCAGAAATTTGTTATAACAGTACGGGAAGTAGTTTTCGAGATTCTGTCATTTTTATGTTCATATTTCTTCTATTGATTCTGGAATATAATGGTTCTCTGTCTCTCTCTGATTATTTTTTTTAAATAAAGGTTGTCGTGTTGATCTTTTTATTAATGCTGTCGTTTGCTGTGATAATCTGGATTGGAGTGGGAAAGAATCCAATTTGTTCTTCAGTAGCTGCCCGGGTATTAAATTCATCTCTTCTTGCTTATAATGTTTAGATAACAGCACAGGAAAATATTATGGCTTTTCACTTTAAAGGATTTAATTGTTGTTTCTTTAAATCTTCTGGAAGTTGTGAAAGAATTTTTCGCTTCTGTGAATGACAGAAAAGCTGAAGTAAAATATATGTGACACACACACACACACACTTTTTTATCTCCAGAGCTACAAGTTATTGTTAATTACCTTAACATACTGGGCAGGTCTATGTAGATTTTTTGGCTTCTGCAATCCTCATATTGGGAGGGGCTTTAGGCTGCTATGGTAAGTAACTGAAATATTTTTCCATGTCAGCTAAATTTATTTGGAAATGCAATAGCATATTAAAATATAATACAGTTTGAGTAATATCCACCATAAAAGAAATGTGACGTACTTCTGCTCAGCAAAATATTCTATTGATAAATTGTCTACAATAGATTCTGGAAGAGTAAATGTTAAATCATTAAATAAGTTTACTGGTAAGCTCCTTAACAATGCTTTCATTTTTCTTATTTCCTTTTTGCGAGAGCCTAGTTTCTCTGTTGTATACATTATCCTGTCCATTTTTATGCTGATTTTGAGTTAAACCTTGTGTATGAATAATATGGTATTGCTTTCTAGAATCCACTTTTATCTTGCTTTCTCCTACTTCTTAACCAAATGACTGGATGGAAGGTAGATTTATTTAACTATTCTCTCCTTAAATAGAGGATACAAAAACATATATTTAAAAGGAGGAACTTCCAGCAAATGCTTGTTCATGGCTATTAGAATTCACACGTGTAGAAGGATCTCAGTCAATGAATAGATCTATTTATGCAAAGTGAAGAAGAATTATTGTTGTATACATCTCCAATGATGGTCTTCCATCGAGTATTTCTTTCCAGCCATCAGCCATGTAACTTTTCATGTTCACCTCTTATTTTTTTTGCACATGTGCGGCTGCATAATGCACAAGTGCACCAGCGCAACCATTTTATTTAGGTTAATCAAGAGTTGCCATCAAGGCTCCAATTATTGAATTTAATAAATCATATGGAACTTTAAAGAATTGAACGTTGAAATAAATGGAATCTAAACCTTTAACTTAATGCAGATTTTTCTCAAAAAAATTAAAATTAAGAGGAAAACACAATAAAATAATCCCAGAATCTTGTGATAAAATATGGGTACAAAGTACAGGTGGATCATAAATGGTGACCATACCAGAACGCCACCCCCCCCAACCCAAGCTCCTTTATAATGAGGCCTGGATTTGCCCCTTAAGTACTGTGACTGTCTGCATCCATGAGTTGTTTAAAATTGCAACTTATGTGTCTCTTTTACTTAGAAACCGTCTATGTATTTTACATGGCATGCTAACATGAATGGTTTCACGTGTTGTTAACTAAACAATTTCATTCTTCTTTCTCTGGACTATCTCTCACTGGTTGTTTTTCCAGGTCTTCTCCTATTTCTTAAATTGAGGAATGTAAGGTCTGAGACAGCTTCATCTGAGATGCGGAAGGTATTGTCTTTGTGATTTGCCTTCTGTTATAGTTTTTGTTCAAGATATTTCCTTACCATCTTAATGTCACCAGTTATATTTTATCCCTTTGAAGGACTGGAAGAACTTGATTGTGTTTAGATTTTGTAAGATTTTCCATGATATGCAGGTTGCTGGTCTGGCAGTTGTCTCTGTTGTATGTTTTACATCAAGCACTGCAGTGGCTCTTCTTACAGATGTACCTGTAAGTGGTTGGTGGCTGTTACCAGTTCCTGCTTTGGAATGCACAGTTTTTAATCTAATTTCCTTTGGCAGCTTCTATATGATTGGAGTATGGGGAATATAAATGAAGCAAAAACACTAGTTCTTCTAGTTTTTTACTATTTTATAGGTACTTCCTCCACCTTGTTTATGTTTGCTCTTCAGCATACCAAAAGATTGCTTGTTTGATACAGTGAACTTTGACATGCTGTGAGCACCAAGTCCGTCTACTTGATTATCTAGCTCCATGTCTTCTAATACCAAATTTGATAGCAATAACTTGGGGCACCAAGGTTCAGATTAACTGAATGCCAAAGGGTGCTATTATGCCTTTGCTTTGAAACTAGAATTTACTTATGTTATGAATCTGTCACAAATGGAAGAAAGTTTGACAGTTGGAGAAGGGAGCCCAGCCTGGGATATTCATATGCATCATTATGATATTACACTACTGGGTGTGGGATGATATCAGTTTGATACATCCATGCCAAACATGTAGAATTAAAGATTTGACTTCGCTAGCCAGGTTGGCTCCTTTGAGAGATACTTACCTTAATAACCAAAAAATTGAAGTAACCTATGGTTTGATAGGTTTTAATTGATAAAATCAATGTCATTGTATAATTCATTTAATGTCATTTACTATTTCCTCAGTTCTTGATGTTAAGGGAGTAGGGTCTTAATTTTTTCAATTATGCAGGCAAAACTAACTTTTATTCAGCTGATTGGCATATGTTATTGTAAATTTGTGAGCAACATGTCTATTATTGCTATAAGCTTGTTGTTTTCAGGTTCGTCGGTGCCCTCAGCCTTTGTATTATGGGCCATGAGAGAATTGCCAGCCCCAGTTACTATTACACAAGCACAATCAAGAGCAGTAACTATTTTTTTTTATGGGGCAGATGGAACAGAAAATCCTCGGCACTGGGTTGCTGCTACAACTTCAAATAATCAGGTTTCTACATCTTTCGTATTTTTTTTTAAATAATTTCCTAAGCTCATTTAGGTGTTGACTTTAAAGAGCATTTCTTGGAAATTTGAAATTTTCAGAAAATTCAACTAGAAAATCCTTATTATGGCATATTGGACATTGGTTAATAGGGTGATCATTTTCGGTCCTGTTTGATTTTTACCTAAAAAATAACCAAACTGATTTTTTCTCTTAAAAAACCGAAACCGGTTCAAACCAACCAATTTTGGTTTGGTTATTTTAGAACAAAAACCAAAACCCAACTATTTGGTTTCGGTTCGGTTCGGTTATTTTATGTTAAAAACAAAAAACTATATTGTTTTTTGGGTTTTTTTTTTTGTAATTTCTAATGGGTTTGGTTTCGGTTTGGCTTGGTTTTTTCCGGTTTGGCTCAGTTATTAATTTTGGCTCGGTTCAATTTTTTGTTTTCAAGCTTATGAAACCGAACCGAACCAGTCAGCCTTTTAAATTATTATAATTGGTTTAAGAGATATTTTTTTCACAGTTTAATTTTTTTTAATATTTGTTTTCCAGTTTTGTTAGTTTAATTAGTTTTTCGAATTTTTTCTCACCCTATTGGTTAGGAATCCCGGTAATAATGCCTAGCACTATTGCTTTAACTACCTAGGAGTCTGATAGAGAACAGGTGCCAAACACAAAAGCTACAAACCTTGTGCATCGTCTGATGATGTTGTAAAATATCAAAGCATGTCTTCCATTTTAAGCTAAAAGTCCACTCTAGGTGCTTGTACACCATAAGAGGGAAGTTTTTCCATCGAAGTGTCTATGAGTAGGCTTTGAATCGCCAAAACTTGGAATTTCATATCGGGCACATCATAATAACAAGGAAGGTTTATTCTTTGCCACCCTCATATTCCTTGCTTGCATCATGGTAATCTTGGTGCTTTTGCGATGAACTTGGTTGCAGCAACTACTTTCCCATTTCATTTTACCTGTGCATGAAACTGAACCAAATATAGTAAAAGTCTCTCTCTGCGATTTAATTTCAGGTGTCAAAAGCAAGTCCAATATAAGCATCATTATCATATTCTGTGCTAAAGAATGCGGAAAGTGTAAAAAGCTGTATTTGTTACGAGTGGAAGTCCAATTGTGCAATATGACGAGCCAGCAGCTTCCTTACTCTTCACGTTAAATTACTTGCACTCTTGGTTGGGTATCAAATTTTGACATCAATGATTGTACATAACTTTTAATATAGCAAGCGAGACTGACGTTTTGGTTAACGAGAATTTCCACTTTCTTACCACCTCCTTTGAAAACAAGCCATAGAAGGTCTCTACGAAAAGATTTTTGCTAATAGCTCAGGTAGATTTTTCCTCGTACACCTCGTACAATTGCATTGCTAGCATGGTTTGCAGGCTTTGTGATGCCTGGGTCGGCTCTGGTATCTTCCCGGGAACAGCTTTCAACATGGTGTTGCGCCATTTTCTGTGAGCACAAAAAAGTAAATAATCTCTATGGGTAAATTAACCAATCTTCTACATGTATGGCTCTCTCTCCCTTGCGCCAGAATCATATAATAGTAGGATACATAAATTTAACAAGGAGACGGCGACTCGATGGTTCCGTCCACGCATACGCAAAATTTCATGAGTAACTTTTGTACTTTTTCACTTGATCTTGTAACTTCTTGGCCCATTGAATATTCAACTTAATTGACCCCACTAGATGTCAGTCTCGCTGGGCAGAAAGGTTACATGTGCCTCCTGCAATTTCTCACTTTCTTGGTTTTGCTTCATTTTTTTATGAATTTTACAAGCACAAGATTAAGATTTCAAGCGGGAAAAAAAAAAAAGATATTGGGAAAGGGCAAGATGTTTAATGGAGCTAAATCAAGGATCAATGAATGATTTAAAGATAGCAAGAGGACGAGGCTAAATCCAAGAAAATAAAGGAAAAGAAGGGCGGCTCCTTTCACTAATACACTCCTGTAAAGACTCCACCGAACATAATTATATCGCGTTTTTCGAGCCCAGAGAAAAATTATCCTCGGCATGCTTGTATAATGTTCGATTTTCCATATTTAAATGAGGCCACAAGCATCATAGATCGATCTCACATGATGATGGAGATGAGCTAGAGTTTTGAAGTGAAAATTGGAAGTGGAAGGACTAAAAACAACCATTCCAAAACGCCAAGGACCGGGCCGCCAATAATTCTATGCACTCTAAAATTCCTAACGTTCAATTTTTTTCATTGGAGAGTATATAAGTATATTTTTATTTTTTAAAATTTATTTTCCATATTAACGCATCACTAAACGATGAAATCCTCTCTCCCCGCCTTTTACAATTCCCGCCAGCATCCACTTTACTTGCGAAAAGCAGATGGAACTGCTGTCTGTTCCTCATGTAACTCAAAAGAAAAAGAAGCACCGTCCTATATATAAAAAAAAACCTCTAAGTTCAATTCTTTTCTTGCCACCAGAGCAATCACCCACTCACTTTGCCCCACTCCACACTCAAAGCATCAATCTTTCTGCTTCCGTCTCTCTCTGATCTATACAAAAACAGAATGGCCTCTCTCGTTTTCACTACCTTCAACCAACCCTAACAACTCAAACTAGATACCGAAACTCAAAGAAACTCGCAAACCTGAAAATATAATTCATTGGACGTCCTGGTTGAATACGATGGCGAGTTCGAGCGGGACTAAGAATGACGCAGGTCCGGGGCCGGGGACGCTGTCTAGGAGAATGACGCGAGCACCGACGATGATGTTGGATCTTCCTGACGAGGATAACGCCCCCGCTGACAGTGAGCTTGTGCCGTCTTCTTTGGCCGTTATCGCTCCTATTCTTCGCGTTGCTAATGAGATTGAGAAGGAAAATCCACGCGTCGCTTATCTCTGTACGTAACCTCCTCCACCTCTCCATTGCATACCTCTTTCTTTCTTTCTTTTTTCCTCCTGGATAAACAATTAATTGCACAATGGCTTTTATGCTTATCTATGTTTTTGTGCAAGCAGGCCGATTCCATGCATTTGAGAAAGCTCATAAGATGGATCAGACGTCGAGTGGACGTGGAGTTCGACAGTTCAAGACCTATCTGCTTCACAAGCTTGAGAAGGTATAATAACTGATTTTTTTTTAGAAAAATATTTTTTTCAGGTTTCATTGCTGGGGATTTTAGGAATGATTGTGGTGTTCTCGGATGAAATTTGTTTCTTATAGCTGTTTTCTTCTCTTTTATTTGTTTCAAGTACGAGTGAAGTGAATTTGTATAGCTGCATTGGTTGTGAATTTTCATAGTATTCTCGACGAATTCCCTTTTGTTAATTTTAGCATTTTTGAACTTTTAACCGGCAGACATATTCACTCCTCGGCAGCTGGTAAATTTATAAAAAACTTACAGCAGTATTCAAGATTATCTGATAAATACTGTACATAATTTGTGTTCTGAAGTTCAAGATTCCAGTTGAATTTTGTTCATGTGCCAATCGGGATCATATTATCAATCTAGGAAAATTTAGGCAGTTGTTTGATCACATATCCATAAAAAATAACTAAACTGCTTACCTGATGTTTTTATCCCACTTGTTTTAGGGTGCCTGAAGTTTTTAGTTCAACTGCTTGCCTTATTCTTAGTAAAAAAACAATTACCGTACTGCTGGCCTGTAGCTCGAAGAAAGTCATTATGGCACTGCTTGCCTGACTTCTTGGAGCATTCTTGGCATACTAGCTGAAATTTGGTACGACTTATATAGCTAATCAGAACATTTTGGTTCAGATGCTCTTACAAAGTATAAGAAAGTGCATGTATACAGTCCTGTCTAATGTGTGGCGTTTGCATGATTCTGTTGGGCCTGAACAAGAGTGGGACATTGCGCAATCTTACAATGAACTAGATATATGAAGGTCCAGTGTAGCCTTATACAGCGTGTTGCTTTCTCACTAACCAACAGAAGCCTTATCGTTAGATGCACTAACCACGAGAACAATTTGTATAATCCTGTTCATGATGCTCTGCAGCATAGATGGATTGCTATTTATGTGATTGTTTTCTACTCTGGCAATTCTTTGATTTTAAATTCTTGTTTGATAACCCATTCTTGTCCAAATTCTTTCATTTGTAACAAAATATATGTTCCGTAATTTATTTATCTTGCTCTCTTACTCTCCTGGGGATTGCTCTTGACTGGATATATTGCACTGTAGTTTCGTTAAGAATGCAAAAGTTGGCCTTTTCAAAATCAAATAATTGAGGAACTGCATAACCGATTGATGGTTTAGCCTAATCACAGTTTCCTAAAATGTAATTGGTCTCTAGGTAACCTGTTCAACATACATACATAGATATTTACATACACACATACATACATACATAGATATTTACACACACACACACACACACACACATATTTCATTTCACCTCAATAACACTTTCAGATTGCGATAGCCCTTTTATGAAGAAAGAAGATATTATCAGATTGCTGTATTATAAATATACTCGAATTATATTCCAGAGTTCTCAGGGAAATGATTTTAGACCTTTTAAATTTCCCTTTTTTTAGGAAGACTTGGAAACAAAGCCTCAGCTGGCAAGAAATGATCCAAGAGAAATCCAGATGTATTACCAAGGATTCTACGAGAAGAACATTAAAGATGCACAACATACAAAAAAACCGTGAGTCTTGATTAATTTTAAGGAGCTTACTTTCTTCTTTATTTTTTAGTCTAATTGTTGTCTTGCCAAAGTTACTAAGCATTTATCATATCTTATTCTTTGTATTTTGTCAACTCTTGCAGGGAAGAGATGGCTAAAATTCTTCGCATTGCTACAGTATTATATGATGTGCTGCAAACGGTGGTACGAACAGAAAAAGTAGACAGTGAGGTTTGTTTTGATTGCTTTCAGCATCCTGACACGAGTTCTTAAGGTATATGTTTTAGGTGCTTAATCATGGATGTTAAATTGGTTTTATTGTCACAGACAAGGAAATATGCTGAGGACGTTGAGAGGAAAAGGGGACAGTATGAACACTATAACATTCTTCCACTGTATGCTGCTGGGGTAAAACCAGCAATCATGGAACTTCCAGAGGTTGGATATATGTACTATATGTAATCTTGTTTTGCTTGTGCTAATCACATTAATTATGAATGCCTGAAATCTATCATGTTCATCCTTGAAAACATAGATCAAAGCTGCACTTCATGCTCTACGTGATTTGGATAATCTTCCAATGCCCAGAATTCGGCTGCCACATGTTTCCTCTGATGACTCGCCTAAGGAAAGTGTTAAATCTGTCAATGACATACTCGATTGGCTTTCATCCATTTTCGGGTTTCAGGTAACTTGCACCTTCAGTTCTATCTTTGCAATATGTTTTCGTATTTACATCTAAAATGTCATAAGTTTTGGGTCTTTAGTTTGTTAGCTCTGAAGTAATCTGCATTTATAGCTTCTTCACGTTTAAGTTGCTTTAAGGACTCACAGACATGAATGATTGGACCTTCGGGTTGCAGTTCACTATTATTCATGTACTTTATTCCTTTTGAGAATGGGCAGCAGTATTGTTCTTTATGAAGCTAGGTGAATTTTATGTGGCAATGAGGAGATTGCAACGAAAGTAATGAAGAAATTAGTGCATCTCTTTTTAATGCTTGTGGAGAAAAAATCAGAATGTTTCTAAAAAGAACATTTGGAAAAGAAAAGAACTCTCTCTCCCTCCTCCCCTCTCCTCCAAATCATCAAAATGAGGCTAACACTTGGAAAAACAAGATTAGTGTTGCGTGGATTTGAATTTGTTTATCTTGCTAGATATCTAGTGTGGGTTCACTAATACCTACATTTGAGCTTCACTAATACCTACATTTGAGCTTCACAAAAACATCAGAGTTTTGATGGTCATAACGAAACTTGTGTGCCATGTTCATATAACCAAGTCAGCTTTATGCATACAAGAATTCTGATTCAGTTATATTTCCTTATATTCTTATCTCATCTATAAAGTTCAATGAAACGAACATTAGTTTATCTAACTGTATAATGCTTCTTTTTTTGATCTTGTGGGGGATCAAAGCGAGGAAATGTGGCAAATCAGAGGGAGCACCTGATATTGCTACTAGCAAATATGGATGTAAGGAATAAGAGTCTTGATGATTATACTGCGGTAAAAGCTTGATTGCTTTCTTCTATTCTCTCTATAGAAGCTTTTTTGTTGACATCTTTATATCATTGTCTTTCAAAGATTGAATTAAAGCTTATTGCAGCTCAATAGTAGGACCATACAGAAATTGTTGGATAAGATTTTCAAGAATTATCGGTCATGGTGTAACTATTTGCGATGTAAATCAAATCTTATGTAAGTTATTGTGCCACTGTTTTAAGTTAGATTTCAGTAGGAATGGTGTATTATTTCAGGTGGTTGAAGTTTTTTGATCTTGCAGATTTCCTGAAAAGTCTGAAAACCAACAGTTACAGCTTAACCAACAGTTACAGCTTATTTACATTGCACTCTATCTTCTTATATGGGGTGAAGCTTCAAATATACGATTCATGCCAGAATGCATTTGCTATATCTTCCACAATGTACGTTTTTTATAAGACCTTTTCTTGGACTGCTGTCAAGTTTGAATTAAATAATATTCGCATGGCAAACGCACACCCGCGCACGCACACATGTTATTCGTTTCATTCAACATAACATCTTGTATAGGAATTATGATTCACATGTTCCAGCAGCATTGTAGGCCCTTGTTTTTCCTGAAAGAGATAAATAAAATTTTAAATGAATTAAAGAAAGGCGCTGGGTATTTTTTTTTAATGGAAGAAGTATGATCTTCAAGAGAATAGAAATCCTGAATAAGTAGAGCACGGAAACTTTCTGTGGAGAACATAAAAGATTATAAAAAGAATAAAAAAAAACAATGGCTTTCTAATGGTCCCACATTTATTATGTGAAAAAAATTTGATTTTTTCATACCACTGCAAATATTGCACATTTATACATAATTTTATAATCCTTTCTCCCCAAACCCACCAACTGCATAAAAAAAAAAACTCTTCCATCTTGCTATTGTTGCTGAAGCTAACCAGTGGTATCAGAAATTGTATTCTACATATCCCAAACCAGACAACAAAGTATCAAAAAAGGTAATGTGTCTGCTCACTATTAAGGCACATAAGAAAAACATCATTTGAAAGTGCCTTATGAGGTCTTTTTACTTGTAATTAGTTGTTAGGATTATCTTAATCATCTACTATTGACCGAAATAAAGGTCTTAACCTTGGTTTCCAAATAGCAGAATCAATCTGCCTCTTTTGCTTGTTACGAGTTTTGCAAAATCAGTTTACCAGAAGCATTGTGCCAATTATTATAGCAGAATCATTGGAAATAAATCTTTGGCCTACAATTCTCCTATCTTGGAAAAGTAAATGAAACATTCTTAGGCTGGTATCTGTTTAGCTTCCTACATAATGATTTTTTGATGTTCCATATCTGTTTTGTATGCGAGTGTAATGCTCTCCTTATTTCCCTATGTATAAGATGGCACATGAAGTCTATGGAATATTGTTTAGCAACGTGCATCCTGTTAGCGGGGAGACATATGAAACAGCAGCACCTGATGATGAAACCTTTCTAAACGATGTTATAACCCCAATCTATCAGGTTTTGCGCAAGGTATTTTTTAACTCAATTTTTTGTTTATTATTAAACTTACAATTACATGTTACATCTGGAAAATAATTTCATTTCCTGAAACAGGAAGCAAGGAGAAACAAAGGAGGCAAGGCTAGCCATTCAAAATGGAGAAATTATGATGATTTGAATGAGTACTTTTGGTGAGATCCTTTGAATAGTAAGTTTTGTTCCCACATTTAGTCAAGATTACTAATAGTCAACTTTTTTCATCTTTTAGGTCTGACAGGTGTCTTAAATTAAATTGGCCAATGGACCTTAAAGCAGATTTTTTTGTTCATTACGATGAAAATCCATCTGCAAATGAGGTATCTCTCTCTTCCATTCCCCTCCCACAAATCCAAAAAAAAAGGTTAAGGCATCAGAAAATTGTCTGGACCCAGTGTGTTTTAGCTTTTTACTGAAGCATGTAAATAACTATACTTCACAAAAATAAGAAATTACACAGCACGATATTTGTCATTAGCTGTTTCTTGTTGATCTTTGAATTCATCACCATTTTTTTAACATCTTTCAACTGGTTTGCTTTTTATTCCCCTAAAACGTGATGTAACGATGTTTTTTAAGCCATCGATAATTATATTAGTCTCTAATGTTGAACTCTTGAACTTCTTCCGTGTTCCTGAATTTTTATATTTTATGTGTTGCCTTGGGGAGTGGTTTATCATGCATTTCTTCCAAATATTTTTTGTTGAAGTTTTTGTGCTTCTTGCAGAGACCTAACCGACGCACTGGAAAGAGGAAGCCTAAAACTAATTTTGTGGAAGTCCGCACTTTTTGGCACCTCTTTAGAAGTTTTGATCGAATGTGGATATTTCTTATATTGGCTTTGCAGGTAGCCTAAAATGTTTTGAGTTAATGCGTTCAATCAATTTTTCTGTTAGGAATCAACTGAATATAAACTTGTTTTCCAGGCTATGATAATTGTTGCATGGAGTCCTTCTGGATCTATTATAGCCTTTTTCAATGAGGATGTCTTCAAAAGTGTTTTGAGCATCTTTATTACTTCTGCATTCCTTAATCTTCTGCAAGGTATTGGTGAAATTCTAAAAGAAAAAGTTTCCTTTCCAGAAAAGATCGTTCTTTGTTATTTAAATTTTTATTGCTTTTATTCCATTAGAAAGGAAAAACTTTGCTTGCCTTATTTTCAAGTGAATTAGCAGTTCCTGTGGAATGTGGACATCAACCAAATGAAAGAAATCCTTAAGGAAATTTCTAAACTTACATGAAACTTTATAATGAATTTTAAAAGTTTTGTAGATGTCTATATCTTGCAATGGTTGTATGTTGTAGATTGAGCGACATTTCTGGTTTTCCCTTGACATTTTCACCTTTTCTTTTATAGCTTTTCTGGATATAATTCTGAGTCTTAATGCATGGAGGAGCTTAAAAGGCACACAAATATTGCGGTATCTTCTGAAGTTTGTTATGGCCGCTGCATGGGTTGTGGTTCTGCCAATTGGTTATTCAAGCTCTGTGTTGAATCCAACAGGACTTGTAAAGTTCTTTAGCACCTGGTCTATGGATTGGCAGAACCAGTCATTTTATACCTATGCCATTGCAATTTATTTGATACCCAACATACTGGCTACCGTACTTTTTTTTCTTCCGCCTTTACGGAGAACCATGGAACGTTCAAATTGGCGGATTGTTACTCTTATTATGTGGTGGGCTCAGGCAAGCATGTTTAACACTATTACTTCTGACTCAAGTGTTTGTTTGCATGTGTGTTTTTGTATTTCTGGTTTCGTTGATATTCTAGATTTTGTTTATTTTTCCCTTTTCAACCTAGGGGTTGCTTTAAATATTTTTTTGCCTACCTGCAGCCAAAACTATTTGTAGGAAGAGGCATGCATGAGGATATGTTCTCACTTTTGAAGTAAGAAAACTATTTTGTTTTCATTTTTATTTTTTAGGAGGGGATTAGTGAGTTTACTAGAAAGTTGCATTATTTGGTGCAAATATTTAATTTATGTTAGAATTCTTGTTGGGAAATTCAATATGAATTTAATTCTGTTATAAACTGGAGATTCTTTCTTCTAAAATCTTGATTTTATCCTATGCACAGGTATACATTATTTTGGATCCTGTTGATAATATGCAAGCTAGCATTTAGCTACTATGTGGAGGTTTTCTCTCCTTGAACACCTTAATTGTTGAATTTTAGTGCTGTTTTGGATAAGATTTTATTAATAGCATTTTGAGTTTAAATGCATTAAGTACTCACAAATCACCAAACACACATCTATGTGCATACATAGAGATTTTACAAGTTTGCTTGTATGCATGCATGTAAAATTTGGATATATATACATGAAATGAAGATATTCAAATAAGGAATATGGAATTGTCATGAATAAGTTTAGGAGGAACTCTAAAGTCTTTTTGCCACCACCTAAAAGGGTTTCTCTTATTGCATATTGTACTTCTCAAATTAAAAAACAGTTGCATGCAATGTAGGGTTGAGAGTTGAGGGATAAAAACTTGACTTCCTAAAATTTACACTATTTGGAACACTCTTTGGATGCAATTGCCATGTGAGATATTTTAAATTGCTCCAAGGATCAAATTCTTAGTTACATGACTAAAACAAGAGCAAGAAATACAATTCCTGAGAGAGAGGGTATTTAAACCTATATATAATGCTAGGAGAGTCCTAGTTTCCTGATTTTTCTTTATTTATTTCAGAAACTGATAACCCTGCTATGGAAAAGTAGGGTGAAAATGCTAAAATTTTTTGGCCTTATCTCGTATGATTGAAATCTTTTGCCATTAGCAGATAAGGAATTGTTAAATGTTCACTACCATTCTAATAGTAAGAAGGACTATGACTTCTTTTTACATTTCTTAGGAGCCTTTACCTTAATAATAAAAACTACGATATTTTTTAACAAGAAAAATGCCAAAAACAAGTTGGTAAAATTCTTTTCTTATCAATGATTGCACTTCTCGTGAATTTTTATAGCAACTATACTATGGATGTGGCAAAATAGAAAAAGAGATTCTATATTTGTCCATTCTATAGGTTCTTTACTTTTTATGTGGACGTATTTTCTTTGTTGATCTATTAAGTCATTTTGCTTATAACTTGTATCTTGTATATTTGTGAATAGATATTGCCTCTAGTTGAACCAACGAAGTTGATTATGGAGATTACCGTTGATAATTATCAATGGCATGAATTCTTTCCTCGACGTAATACTTCACCCTTTTCAATGATTAGTTGTACTTTTTTCATCATGAAGCTGTAACTAAGTCATGTTTTGAAACTATTGTAGTTACGTATAACATTGGTGTTGTTATCTCAATATGGGCCCCTATTCTCCTGGTAAGTGGACTAAATAAGAGGTTTAGTTAGGAAAGAGAAACTTCATAGCATTATGTTACATTACAAACTTTTTCAATAAGGTAAATTTTGTTATTGTGTTAGGTTTATTTTTTGGATGTACAAATATGGTATGCCATATTTTCTACACTTGTTGGTGGGATTCAAGGAGCATTCAACCATTTGGGTGAGGTTAGTGGTCATTTTTTTCTCCTATAATGATATATTAGCAATTATATGATGTGCAATGATCTTATTAACCCAACATTGTTATAATTGTTATAAGAGATCTGAAATCCTAGTTCATATTTGATTGTATTATCACTTTACAAATGGCGGTTTTGATCGTGCATTACCTTTGTAACTTTTGATTTTCCAGATAAGGACACTAGGGATGTTAAGGTCCAGATTTGAATCCGTGCCTTCAGCTTTCAGTCGCCATCTTGTGCCATCATCATATAAGGATGTTTCAGGGAACCATGAGACGGTAGCAATTCTAACAAATCTATGTAGTAGTTTGTTTATCTGCGCTGGCTGTCTGATATATATATATATATATATATATATATATATATATCTTTAATTTTTTCATGATGTTCCTTTTGGATGCATTTTGTTCCAAATACGAAAGCAACAATATTATTTGGTATTCCAACTTATTTTATACATCAATCAATTGGAACTTTCTCCCTTGTTTTTGGCTAAATTGACAGTTCTTTTCATGCCAGGATGAGCAAATCGAAAGAAAAAATATTGCAAATTTTTCACATGTGTGGAATGAGTTCATATATTCCTTGAGAGCAGAAGATCTGATCAGCAATCAGTTGAGACTCTTCTTGCTAAATAATTATTCAATATGTCAAGTGCATAATATTCTATAATTGTAAGGTTTTAATTTACTTCACTATTCAGTGAAAGAGACTTGCTGCTTGTGCCGTATTCTTCAAATGATGTCTCTGTCGTGCAGTGGCCTCCTTTTTTGCTTGCTAGCAAGGTAATATCTTTTGTCATTGTTATTCTTAATGTTTGTACTCAATGCAAATCCAATTCCAATTTATTTCCATGTGTTGATTGACACACGACAGATTCCTATAGCATTGGACATGGCAAAAGATTTCAAGGGGAAGGACGACGCTGAGTTGTATAAGAAGATGGATGATTATATGCAATCAGCACTAACCGAGTGTTATGAGACATTGAGGGACATGATATATAGCCTTCTGGAAGATGATTACGATAAGATGTAAGAAGCATCTGTCTAGCGAGCTTGAGTCTCGCAAGTAATATTAGATGAATATGATCATATATGATTGATTATTTATCCCTTTTTTTTTTTAATTTTCTAAATAGGATTGTAAGGCAGATATGTCATGAAGTAGACTTGAGCATACAACAACATCAGTTTTTGCATGAATTCAATATGAGTGGATTGCCTATGCTTAGTGAATATCTGGAGAGATTTCTAAAATTCTTGGTAATGTGCTTTCTTTATGCTTTCAATTTTTTTTTCCTTTTTCTTTAATTTCTGAGCATTTTAGCTTGTAACTTGTCATTTTGGTCTGCACATGCTCATATTTGAGTGCTCACATTAGAATTTTTTTGACAGCTAAGTTATCCTGAAGATGCTGGCATGTATAAATCTCACATAATTAATGCTCTCCAGTCTATTATAGAAGTTATCACTCAAGATATCATGAAGCATGGCCATGAGTAAGCTTTAAATGACAACTAATTTACTGGGGATGTCAAAATGGTTGCGACAGACTGAACTGTGGTTACTAAACATTTAGATACATTTCCCTGCAGTGTCCTGGAAAGAGCTCCCACTAACATCACAGGGGATCAAAGTAGTATAAGAGAACAGAGGTTTGTAAGGATAAATATAAACCTTGCATATAACAAGTACTGGACGGATAAGGTTTTCCTCACACTTGTGTATTTTTTTTACAAATGTCATTTTATGATTTCACATATACATCTTTAATTTCTTACTGTTTTATATTTCTCCCGCAGGTCATTAGGCTCCATTTACTTTTGACTACCAAGGAATCTGCCATAAATGTGCCCTCGAACTTGGATGCTCGTCGCCGAATAACTTTCTTTGCAAATTCCTTATTCATGAACATGCCGAAGGCTCCAAAAGTCCGAGACATGTTCTCTTTTAGGTGAGTGATTGAACAATGTGAAACTTGAAAGCTACAATGTTATAAATGGGAGTAGCTTTTGTCTATACTTTCATCATGGCACCAACAAGTTCTAAAATAAATCATTTTCAACAATGTTCATGGCTTTTTGCCACAATCAGGTCAGAAATGAAGAAATGGTACCATTCTCATGCAAACATGATAATGATTGTGTTAATAAAGATTGCACAGTTTCTTCTCTCATTCACTATCTTTATAAATGGTCATATGCTTCTATACTTCTCATTTTCTTCCATATAGATGATCATTCATTGGTCATAAATAGAAGATTACTTATTTTCATTTTTTCCTGCTCTAACTTTAGATGTATTTTTTGATATTATTAGTGTTTTAACTCCATATTACAAAGAAGATGTTCTTTATTCTGATGACGAACTTCACAAGGAAAATGAAGATGGGATAACAATTTTGTTCTACCTAAAGACTATATATCGTGGTGAGTGAGTTTTGCAGCAGTTCCTGCATCACACTTTTGGTCTTTTATAATGGGGTTAACTTACCAAGCACAAATGACTACGAAACAGATGAATGGAAAAATTTTGAGGAACGCACAAATACATGTTCTTCCAAAGAGAAGATGGAGCTTACTCGTCAGTGGGTATCGTACAGGGGGCAGACCCTTGCTAGAACAGGTTTGAATAGTAAAGATTTTTGTAGCTGTTCTTACCATCTTCATTTCTGGATGTTGACTAGGCTATCATGTAACCACTCATATATATTTCTCAAAAAAAATTCCAGTGAGAGGGATGATGTACTATAGGCAAGCCCTAGAACTTCAGTGCTTATTGGAATTTGCAGGAGACCAAGGTTTGTGATTTCTTAACATATATACACAGTATGATTTCTGAAATTTAGCATTTGATTCCATTGCCTCTAATGATTCATTCTCTTTTTGATAAACTAATCACTGTTTTGCTTTGCAGCTGTTTCGAGTGCTTTCCGTACCTTGGAACATGAGCAGGATCAGAAAGTTTTCTTTGATCATGCACAAGCACTAGCTGATTTGAAGTTCACGTATGTTGTTTCTTGTCAAGTGTATGGAGCTCAGAAAAAATCCACTGAAGCCCGGGACCGAAGTTGTTACAGTAATATTCTGAATCTAATGCTAACGTAAGTTAAGATTATGTATCTATGGGTTACATGAAGTTCTCCATTTAAATGCAAAAGGTTGATGGAATCCTTAATTTAATAACATTATTGCAGGAATCCTTCGCTACGTATTGCTTACATCGACGAGAGAGAGGTGACAGTGAATGGAAAATCTCAAAAAATGTATTACTCTGTTCTCGTCAAAGGAGGTGATAAGTTTGATGAGGTGGGACTGATTCCTTGTTTGGTGCAGAATTTAAGTGTTTCTGGATTTCTATGATAAAATTTAGTAGATTAATTGGTCACTTCCAGATAAATTTATCACATTTCAAATTGCAATTAAGGTTTGGAAATTGCAGAGTTGTGTTCTGGAAAAAATCTAGTTACTGTCTGCAAGATAATCCTATGAAGTACTTTGTTATCTGCAGATGTAAATAAATTGTGCTATAAAGGACTATTTTTAAGGAACAATTACATTTATGCGATGTTCCCCAGCTGCTTAGTTTAGCACCTTCATTCATTTACTGAGAATGAGGAACATGTCCTGCCTCTGCGTTCTCAAGAAATTTTTTGAGAGTAGTTGATTGTTAATGCTGCTCCAGTATTACAAGCTTCTTTTGCCATTTTTGTTCAATCTGAAACATGTTCTCTTATATGTTGTTCTTGTTACATTGCTAGGAAATCTACCGAATCAAGCTTCCAGGTCCTCCAACAGATATCGGTGAAGGAAAACCTGAGAATCAAAATCATGCCATTATCTTTACTCGTGGAGAAGCCTTACAGACTATAGACATGAATCAGGTGGTTAACTTTTTCTTAATCCTTTCATTTGTAAATTACTCACATAGTAATTCACTAAACTTTCCCTTTGTTTTCAGGACAATTACTTTGAAGAAGCTTTTAAAATGAGGAATGTGTTGGAGGAGCTTAAAAAATCTCATCGTAGGAAACAAAACCCTACGATTTTGGGTGTCAGGGAGCATATATTTACTGGAAGGTCAGCCTTACCATTTAATGGTTGTGCTAACACATGTTAGCATGCAAGAGAATTATGTTGTAGAACAATGCTGATTTTGACCGTATAAACCCTTATATTTCTTCCCTTTCATTTGACAGTGTTTCATCACTTGCTTGGTTCATGTCCAATCAGGAGACCAGCTTTGTGACTATTGGCCAACGTGTTTTAGCTAGTCCTCTAAGGTAAGCCTAATTTTAGCCAGCAATCAATGTATAGTATTATATACAATTTACAATTTGAATGCTCTTTCCATCTGTTAAAACTTGTATCTGCTTTTCCTTCTAATTCTCAAACATGGGATGAAAAAATTTCAAACCTCAGACAGATGATATTTCACTGCTTGAGGAAAATAAAATTCAAAATCACAAATCGCTCCTGGGAATCTCCCAAAAAACGGCCATCTTATGTGTAAATCCCCACTTGACAGGTTCTCCCCTTTTCCTCAAAACAGACTTGTTTTGCTCATTGATCAGTACAAGTTATCTGAATCAACTTAACAATGAGCTTTGATCCAGGTTGAAAGTATTAAGGTACCACATGATTTTAAAAAATTACTTACAGAAAAGAGGACTCTAAAACTCCTTCAACTTTCAAATATAGGAAAAATTGCAAGCTTCAAATTATTTAGACACCCTGTGATGATTATTTGCTTGTCTTTAATGTCTTGAAATCAAAATGTCAAACAATTCGCCTGTCTTGAATTCTTCAATTTGCCTAGACATGAATTCAATGAGTCCAATAGTTATTTAATGAAGAGAGGTTCGATCCTTTTAGAAGAGAACAACTCAAATTTTACAGGAGCATGTTATTTTTTGTACTTTTGGATGAAAATGTTGTCTTCTCTCTTGCTTGTGTCATAACAAACTATTTGGAGTGCCTCGTTTCCATTAATATGCAATGTTGTATTTTGCAGTTCTATAGCATTTTTGTTGTCTTTGACGTACAATGTTGTATGTTGCTTTAATTAACATATTCTGTGTCATGCTCAAAAATCTATTTAATTTTGTTCTATTACCACCAATTTACAATTCTAACAAATTTTGTCTAACTTCATAGGGTACGATTCCATTACGGCCATCCTGATATATTTGACAGAATATTCCACATAACAAGGGGTGGCATAAGCAAAGCTTCAAAAATAATAAATTTAAGCGAGGATATATTTGCAGGTAATTTTATATGGGTTGGAACACTTTTGCCATTAGATATAATTATCGTGTGATGATTAAGCATTCGGATGTCTTCAGGATACAACACAACCCTACGTGGGGGATATGTAACGCATCATGAATATATCCAAGAAGGGAAAGGGCGTGATGTGGGGATGAATCAGATATCATCTTTTGAGGCAAAGGTGGCAAATGGGAATGGAGAGCAGACACTTAGCCGTGATGTTTATCGACTGGGGCGCCGTTTTGACTTCTATAGGATGCTCTCATTCTACTATACAACAGTTGGTTTCTATTTCAGTAGCATGGTATGTTGATCTTTATTTCACTGTCTTTGTGCCGAACAAAAGTCCAAGTTTCTTGCTTCCTTTTATAGTCTTCTTGACTACTACTGCTGGCATCTCTTTTTCTTTAAGTTTTCTGAGTTATGGTGGTTTGTTGGTCTCCTTGAGGAGTTCCACATCTGGAGCTTCAAGGTGATTTCATTCCCTTCATTACTTCTGTTTTAGGAAATGCCCTTATCTATGTTTTTTTTTTTAATTTAAAAAAGAAATGGATAACATAACGCTAACTAGGCTCCCCAGTAAATGTAGCTCAGATTATTCTTATCTACATATTCCAAGCTGCTTATCGAGGACGGAGCGTCATTTATGCTGGCATCAAAATATAAGCAATTAAACATTAAGAATAAGATCAGTTTGTTTCAGATGGGGCCCTATGCTTCAGTCCTCTGTGGTGACCAATATTACGTAGTGATGGTTTCTCAATTATTCCCTGCATTAATGAGGTACTAAAAAAAAAAGGAGACCCCAGTTTTATGGAATTCAAAAGCGCTAGATACCATTAGGTGATTCAGGTCACTTGGCCAGCTTGTTACTTGTGAAGCCATTTTAATATTCCTAACATGAGTTTTATTATAACTACATGGAATGGAAAGTGCGTGTTATAGTTTGATTTGGTATCTTTTTGTCGTTTCAGGTAACTGTGATTACTGTATATGTGTTCTTATATGGACGCATATACATGGTACTGAGTGGATTAGATAGGGAGATTCTTATGGACCCGAGCATAAGTGAGAGCAAGGTCCTTGAACAGGCTATGGCTCCTCAATCCATTTTTCAGCTAGGCTTTTTTCTAGTGCTGCCCATGGTTATGGAAATTGGCTTGGAGAAAGGGTTCCGCACTGCTCTAGGTGATTTTGTCATTATGCAGCTACAGCTTGCATCTGTGTTCTTTACATTCCAGCTTGGAACCAAATCACATTATTTCGGAAGAACAATTCTTCATGGTGGTTCCAAATATCGAGCCACTGGGCGTGGCTTTGTTGTTTTCCATGCGAAGTTTGCAGAAAACTACAGGCTATACTCACGAAGTCACTTTGTTAAGGGATTGGAATTATTTATACTGCTGATCGTGTATGAAGTTTACGGGGCTTCATATCGCAGTTCAAGTCTTTTTATGTTCATCACATTATCCATGTGGTTCATGGTTGGATCCTGGTTGTTTGCTCCATTTGTGTTCAATCCATCTGGATTTGACTGGCAAAAAACAGTGGATGATTGGACAGATTGGAAACGGTGGATGGGCAATCGTGGTGGTATAGGAATTTCTCCTGATAAAAGCTGGGAATCATGGTGGGCTGGAGAACATGAACATCTCAGACACACAAATTTCAGGGGATGGTTGCTTGAAATAATCCTTGCATTTCGCTTCTTTATCTACCAATATGGCATTGTCTACCACCTTGATATATCCCATCACAGTAAAAGTTTGCTGGTACAATCCATATTTGAGTGATGTTTTGTTATTTGTTGGCCCATAAACTTTTTGGTTGATTTCTGCTACCATAAACTAACTTCTCTACTATAAACTAAAAATCTTTATTGCAGGTTTACGGACTTTCGTGGATAGTTATGATTACTGCTCTATTAGTCCTCAAGGTATGTGGCATGCCAATGGAACTCATATAGAAATTAGATGTGATTAGGAGGAGCTTGAATAAAAAAATCTAGCATTGTATTTGAAAACTAGCAAATCAGCATTTTAAGCTTATATCTTGACCATTTGAAAGAAGAATGTAGCGGTGTTCTCTAGTAAATTAATCTCAAGTAAGTTTTGTGTCTATGCTTTATTTCTGAACTTAGCCTGCTGCTGTTCGTGTTTCAAACATTGCTCTCAGATGGTATCCATGGGGAGAAGAAAATTCCGTACAGACTTTCAGCTCATGTTCAGGATTCTCAAGGCACTCCTATTTCTCGGCTTCATGTCAGTCATGACTGTTCTCTTCGTAGTTTGTGGTCTCACAATACAAGATTTATTTGCTGCCATCCTCGCGTTCATGCCCACAGGGTGGGCCCTTCTTCTTGTAAGTATACAAATTTTGTTCAAAATGTGTGATTATATACTTCAAGGGTTCTCCTTCAGTTGGTCACTGCATGATTAAATCGTCTTTATATAGATTGGACAGGCATGCATGAGTTTGTTTAAGTGGATAGGATTCTGGGATTCGATGAAGGAGCTAGCAAGGGCATACGAGTACATCATGGGTTTATTGCTTTTCATGCCAATAGCCATCCTGTCATGGTTCTCGTTTGTTTCAGAGTTCCAAACTCGCCTGCTCTTCAATCAAGCATTTAGCAGAGGCCTCCAGATTTCTATGATTCTTGCAGGAAAGAAAGATGGAAGCGATACTGTAAAGAAAGATGTACCTGAAGCAGCAAAGAAAGACGGCGCTGATGAAGGAAAGAAATCATCTAACTAGATCTTCGACATTTCACTTTCATTTTGTTTATTCTGTCCTGTATCTAAAATTAGTTGGAAGTCCAAGAGATATGGTAATTATTTCTACAAGATTGATCGATATGGTCATTTTTTTTCTTTATGGTGTAGGAGCTTCTTAGGAAAATAAATCTTCCTTATTTAATTTTATTTCTTCTCCTTTTTTTTTTTATTATGATCTGTGAAGCTATATATAAGGTGACACTGTTATATGGAATCTTGATACAGAGATCAATTTCTCTAATCTTACAGCTTTAAACACAATCTAATTAATCCTATATGCTCTTCTCTTCTCCAAATGCAAGTGAATTTTCAATTTCAATTTTTATGTTAACATGGCCTTTTAACTTAGTTTATATATATCTTGATTAATTTTATAAATTATAAATTAATGATTATATAAACCTGTAAAATCTCTATCAGTGGTAGCTATTGCAGGTAAATTCTCAACATCAACAGGGGATATAAGCAAAATCTTCCATCCTGGATATATGATCATGAGAAATCATGCCCCACCACAGCATGACTGTTTCGGCTATGTAAATTGGGAATTTAGGATACACTTTAATGTTTTTTTAATTGACAACAACACGTGTGAGTTGGGTTTTTGGGTTCTCATCTTCCAGCATTGCCCCCTCAGCAGAAAGGTGCTGAAACTCAGCAAGGGTTATACGAATTGATGATTATGTCATTTGGTATGTACAATGCGTTCAGTATTTGCATGAGGTTCATGCATCATGTATTGAGTTCACGAGGAACTGGTTTTTATAATATTTTGATTTACAACCCCATTTTGGAATCTCACCTTGTCAAATTAATAGAATAAAACCTTTTGATAAGAAACTAAAATCTCTTATCCAATTTGTGTGAAATTCTTAATATTTTTAATGTAACCATTACAAGATCAACAATTCCATCAACTTAGATTTTTATTGACATAAAAACATCACTTTTCATGTTTTCAGATCCAACCCATAAAAGTTTGTTTGTTCTTTGTGCATAAACCCTTGTAAGGATTTCACATAGTTTTAGTAATTTTTCTATGTTAAGGACAAATTCTTTTATTTGTACTTCATAAAAAGCAATAATCCTTCAAATTATATTTGATTAAATCCAGCTTTTGTAGACATTCCCTAATTTCCATCCCCAAGCATTTTAAATTTTTTATTTATTGAAAAAAATCTTATTATTGGATTGTTTTTTATCTAATTATATGGATCGATCAACACGGATGAAATTGTTATTTTATTTATAAAATCACGTGAAATTTTATTTAACTCCATATATAAATATGAAATGTCTGAAATATGTATAAACGGAGGAATAAAGAGAATTTTGATTTTATACTAAAATTAGAATTTACAACAAATACATCCAATAACCTTTTGTTAGATAGAAATAAATTTGATAAATATTGATAACTCTCGGATAGAGTATTAGAATGAAATAGATAATAAACTCTTGGTTATTAGCCATTTTTGGTGATGAATCAACAATTCAAAATGTTTTTCTTTCGTATTATTGATAAACTAGTGTTTATATATAAATATAGGAGGATTTGTTTGGAAAATAAGAAGCTTGTTTGTCATCTCTTTATCTACAAAGAATTCTTAATGTGAATACATAGAGACAAGGGGCTAGTCTTTGAATAGAAAAAAGAGTGGATCTGTATGGTCTCAAATGAATTGACGTGCTATTTTGCAATATTAAAAAATAAGCATTTGTATGTAAATTGCACAAAAAGTGCAAGTTTTTCAAAGTGTTCATGATATTAGATGCTTTTATGGATTTATATCCTTTTATATGAGTTTCATTCAAAACTTTAGTTTTCTTATTGCATCTATTAAGAAGTGTTTTAAGGGGTATTCTTTTAAGTGGACATACAAGGCTGAATTTAGTTTTCAGCTTATTAAACGAGAAATGATTGAAACTTTTATATTGTCACTCTCAAACTTTAAAAAGCTATTTAAGGCTAATTATGATGCATTTATGATAGGCATTAGAAGAATTCTTAACCAAGATGGGCAGCTATCACTTTTTTGAATAATAAGTTATCTAGTTCAAAAAAGAATTAGTATAAATATGATTTGAAACTTTATGTTATTGTTTAGAATTTCAAACATTAGCCACATTATCTAATACAAAAAGAGTTCATCTTTATTAGAGACCATGAGACACTAAATTACATAAGTTAATTGTTTGCTTATTGTGTGCTACTAAACAATCATAGTGGGAAGAGTTTATAGAGTAGGGCATGTCCTAAAAATAGACGAAGACTCTTCTTTAAGATAAACCTTTAAAAACTTATCATGGAGGACATGCAATAATAAATTACAAAATTGACTCATAAATTAGAGAAGAAAGAGCAACAAGAACAAACCCAAGAAAGTGATTGTGGGTTATTGGCTAGTATTGAAATTCAAAGCACAAACAGAGAAGATAACCTTATGATAAAGAAGAGATCAAATCTAAGAACTTTAGGTTTTGCAATAAAATTTCTAATTTATTGGAACCTTATAGATAGATGAGTTTATAGATTAGTTGGATCTTATAGGTGAAAGAGGTTAACTCTAGAAATTTTTTAATATAAAAAGGTTTTTGAATAAACATGATTTAAATTAATCACAATCAAATTAAAAGATCAAATATTTGTTTAATGTGAATAGTTGAAAAGGAGGTGTAAGAAGTAAGGAAAATAAAAAATCAATGATTGAGATAAATTAAAGAAGAAGATAAGATAGCAGTTTCTTCCTTTCACTTGTTACCAAATTTTATACTAAAGATGTATATGCATATATTAAATGAAATGATTTATAACATTAAAACTAAAATAATGAAAATCACTACACTAATCCTGTTAATTTTTTTAAAAAAAATCTCATGAGAAAACAATTCTATAAAAATATAATTTTATAGCTGTTTTGAAGTTTTTTACTATTATTCTTGATTAAGAAGGCTTTAATTTTAAAATTATATGTTAAATTTGATATTAGTACTATTTCTAAAATTTCACACTTATATTCTAGATTTATAATGATGTTTTTTAAATATAAATTTTAAAATCATATGATTTTTTATATGCAAAAAAAAAAATTTATAATGTAATTAAATGAATATTATGAATACAAAAGATTAACTTAATAATTTAGGATCGAATATTTATTGAATGATTCTTCATGTACGGGAATTTCTTTAAAAAAGACATAAACTAGTATTTTAAAAAATATATATTTTTTAATTTATTAATGTTAAAAATAAATTAAAAAAATATTATTATTTTAATATATTTTAAAATAAAAAAATATTTTTAAAAATAATTACATAAAAGAGAAAGAGAGAGAGTGGCGCTCGAGTCGGACCCCAGTACCCCCTTTAGGTTACTGTCCGTCGCGATAAAAAGATAAAAGGGAAAAAAACACAGAAAACTGCATCCATCCATCCATCCATAGCTCGAATCTCTTCTCATCACTCTCACGGATTAAAGAAACCATTGATTATATTTTTGGGTTTTTAGATTGATTTTAAAGTTATTAAAAAAAATGAATATCCAGCAGCAGCAACAATCGAATCAATCAAAACCGCCCTCCTGGGAAGCCATCTCCAAGCACTTCTCTCTTCCTCTCTCCGATGCCGCTAACAATCTCGGTACCTCTCTCCCTTCATCTCGCATTTGAACTTTCAAGTTTCAAATTATTTATTTTTTATTAATATTTTGTGTAATTATTGGAGCAGGCGTCTGTGTCAGTGTGCTTAAGAAAATCTGCCGTGAGAATGGTCTTGATAGATGGCCATATCGCAAGGTCAGTTTTTGTTTTTGTTTTTCTCGATTCCTATCAGTAATCTTTTCTTCTATTTTCTTGGTAGAAATGAATTTTCTTCTATAGAAACTTAATTACGCCCCCCCCCCCCCCCCCCC